GGGAGTGGGAACCCCGGGGGCCGGGGGGGGGGGGGGACATTAGGGCGTGCAGGGTCATAGGCGCGACTCGCTCAGCACCAGCGGAGGGTCCTCTTACCTGAGCTCGGCACCTGTGGGCTCCAGCGGTGCTGGTGAGAGACAGGAAGCACGCAGAGTCAGCATTAAACGAGCAGAGTGGAGAAATGGCAGCTGCCCAGTGCCGCCTCCCCCTGACCTGCCAGTGCGCCTTATGCAACCTGGGGAGGGCTGGTGTTTTTGGAGGGACAAGTGCCCTCACCCAACACAGGCGCCTGGGCCCACAGAGCCAGTGAGGCACCTCTTCTCTAACTGCACAGAGGACACCCTGCGGAGCTGCATCTCCTGGCACCTTGCCCGGCGCTGTCTGGGAGAGCCCGCAGCACCCACAGCGCGCTGAGGCCACCAGGGGCCTCAGACTCAGGCCCCAGCCAGGGAGGAGCAGGCAGGCCAGCCTCGTTGTGGGCTGCTCTCCTGAGGGACCCCGCGGGAGTTGGTGTCCACAGCCTCGGCCTGGGACTCGGACAGAGCCAGCTGTGGCACCAGGATGGACAGGGAGGCAGCACTCACCTCTCAGGGCCTTGGATCTGGTGCGAGCGCGCATCTCCTCGTCCTCTAAGCTCATCTGCAAGTAGAAGCAGCTGTCACATTCAGGGAAGACAAGGCTGCCGGACCTGCCTGCGTGCTTCCCAGCCCAGCTCTGCTGGTGCAGGCGGGCGTGCGACACGCATCCAAGGAATGGCTCCCAGGCAGGAAGCCCTGGGCCTAGAGCAGCAGGCCCCCCACCCCCGGGTCCTCCCATCCCCTGCGCCTGTCCCATCCCGACCGAGGAGGGTGGGCCCGCTCCCCCTCACAGGCACAGGGGCTCAGGCACCAGCGCAGATCCACCCCCACTGGGCCCCGGTGCCCAGCTTCCTGCTGGAGCTAGCGTGAGGGTCGTCCGGTCAGAAGCAGGTTGCCGGGACCCGGATGGACTATCCAGGAAGCGTCCAGAGGGGGGACAGCTGTGAGCTCCACTGTGTGCTGTCCCAGGAACAGTCCAAGGACAGGGCCTGAGCTCAGGGACCGTCCCTAACGTGGGGCAGGTCACCCCTGCGTGTGTTCCTAGAGGCACCAGGCTGCTCGGCATGCCCCACCCTGGGGACTGGAGACACATCCCTGTGCACGTTCTAGTAGCCGCACCGACATGTGAAAGGAAACAGCTAAAACTAATGCTAATACTAAACTTAGCCCAATCTACCCAAAACTGTCATTTCAACAATGATGATATGAATGAGATTGTGAATGAGACTTTTGTTCTATAGTAACTGAGAAACCTTGCGTGCCTCCTGGTCTCAGCACATCTGCATGAAGCCCCCTGCCACCTGCCCATGGCCTCCAGGCTGTGTGGCGTGCCCAGAGGCTGAGGCCGTGTCCGTGAGAGCCAGGCTGGGGCATGAATAAAGGCCAACGGGTCAGCTCGCCAGACCCACCGGCCCCTACCCGATGCCACTTCTCCCAGGAGAGGCTGAGTGGCACCTGCGAGGGGACGAGGCACCGTCCAGACCAGCGGTCACCAACCTCTTAGACCTCACGGACCACCCGTGGTCCGCAGACCACCGGTTGGCAACCGCTGGTCTAGACCCCACCGGAGCCCATTAGTGATGCCCCCCACAGTCCCCGCCCCGATCCACTTCGGAGGGGGACACGCCCACACTGTCCTCCAAGGAGTCACGGGAGAGCCCCAGGAGCTCCAGGTCATCAGACGGATCCTTGGCCTGTGTCACTCAGGACACAACTGGGCAGCAGGTGATGACGAGGTAGGAGGTGGGCACTGAGCAGGAGCCCGACATGCTCTGTGTCTCCAAGAGAGAGCAGCCTCTGCCCGGTACCCACCCCAAGAGGCCCTGGGAGAGCGGGCCGCACCACTCACCACGGTCAGGGAAAGGAGGAAGCAGCCCACCTGCCTCAGGCCACCACGGAGGCTGCCGGAGGGACAGCGGACAGTGGGGGAGACGTGTCCGGAGAGAGGAAGCCAGTGCAGGGGGAGCGGAATCTGGGGTCGCCCCTGGGAAGACAGGTGGAGGGATCCCCCCAAGTAGTGAGATGAATTTTGCAGAGGGAAACTCCCCGCAAGCAGCACTAACATATGATGATGTACGTGATTTGTTAAGGAGGAAAAATCAAAACCTGGCGTGACTTATGCAGGGGCGGGCGCGGGCCATGCTGAGTGCAGCTGTCCAGCAGCAGGAGCCGGGCTGCACTTTCCATGTTGGAGGCGAGGCTCCCTGCGGACCAGTGGCTCACACGGGAAGTGAAAAGAGGAGCAGGTGTCCAGGGGCTTCGTTACCCTACGAGCCTTCAAACGCACCTGTGGGCCGCAGCACGCCAGGCAGGACGCTCCGCGACGCTGACGCCTGGCTGCCGGCGCCTGCTTGCAGCTGAAACGCAACCTACCGCTCGTTTTTTGGTGACGTTTCCCAAGGAAGTTGGCAAGCGCCCTGCTAGGTTAAAGTGTGCCTTGGTAATGTGGTTATCTGCAGATAAATGATTCAAAGAGCAGAGAACAGAGAAGGTGGCAGGGGTGGGTTGCGGGTGCCGCCTCCAATGGCAAGCCCTTTGTCGAGCTAACAGCTGTGGCCTCTGTATCGGAGGGTCGGTCAGTGAGAAGTTCTCCTCGGGGCATGTGGCTTTGATTTTAAAAGGGAAAAACTGAATTACAGGAGAAAAGGTGGGTTGGCTCTTTAACGTGAGAGTGAATTGGGGACCTGGCAGCCAAGACCGCTTTCTGAGCTGTTTGGAACCGGGGGTTCGGGCTGCCTCGGGAGCACCAGGCAAGGCTGTGATGACCCCAGCGAGCTCCGGGCTCCTGGAGAAAGTGGAGTGCCTCCGGCTGAGGGCACCACTCCCGTCCCAGGTGGAGCTGGCGCACCCAGCAGCCCCCACCCCGCAAAGGCAAGGAGACACGTCCCCATTTTTCATTCATTTATTGTTTAAAAACCTTCCTCTTGTTCCAAGCACAAATCCATCAAGTTTCTGTTTTGGCGTGGCCCACAGGTAACTGCACAGCCTCTCCCCTGGAGGGGGAAGGCCCCTTGGCACAGCCGAGCCTCCAGCACCCGCTCTCCAGGGGGCAGGCGCTCCTCAGAACCCTCCTGTGTTTCTGTAACTCCAGCTCGTTCTGCCACGGGAGCCTCTCACACTTCCCATGCTCCTTAAATGGCTCTAAGCTCTCATTAATATTTCACTAGTTCTGCCTTCAAAAGGAAAACTGGGGCGGGGGGGAGGGAGTGGTAATTTACAGATGCAGATGCACCAGCGTGGCCACATCTGCGAACCAGAGTGGGTGGTCCTGTCCTGTGTCACCTCAGGACCCACATCAGCATGAGGCTCTCCCTGCTGTCCACGCGGCTCTCACAGCCACAGGCCACGGAGACCAGCCCTCGTCCGACCCATCTGCATATTGCCGTTGCCCAAACTGGGTTCCCTAGATTGAACATTTACAAGCTGGGGACCAAACAAGCCCAAGTTGGTCAGCAGCCTCCAAACCGCCTCTGGACTCTGGGGCCACAGAGGTGAGCCAGGAGCTCAGGCCCAGCCAGAGACAGAGCCGCCAGGGAAGAGCACTCTGTATCCAGGAGGGTCCCGTCCACACGGCCCACAGGCTTTGTCCATCTTCACTTTTATCCTAGAGGCCAGGTCTGTCCACCCCCCAAGTTCAGGGACTCTAGGTTGGTCTCTGGAGATGCGCCCCCCTCGAGCCCCCAGCCCTACCCCGTCTATTGCCTCGCTCCCTCTCTTTCACTCTTTTCTTCTGTTCTTCCCAGGCCTCCCTGCCCTCTGCATAGACAGCTGAGGCCCAGCCCCGAGGAGCCCCAGACACGTGCCTGCCAGCCCGGGAGTCCCTCACTCTAGAGTCAGGTGAGAGATTGCTCAGGGGCTGCTCAGACTCGGGACCCTGGTGGGGAGGGAGGTTCAGTGGGTCAGTGAAAACCTGAGGACATGTAGGCTGCCTCAGGGTGGGAGGTGCTCAGAACTGGGGAGCAAGGAGCACCCTTGGGTGTCAGCTCCTCTCAACAGTCAGGCCTGCTCCCTCCCACTCCGCCCTCACAGCCCTCAATTCCATCTGAGATAAGCTCCTTCATTCCTGTTTCGAGGTCACTGTCCTGCAGAGCAAGGTGCCGCGGCCTCGCTCTGCTCAGAACATATTACATAAGGATGGACGGATGGACAGACAACTGGGGAAGGCGGCTGAGCACACATCCGGGCCTCGGGCTGGGCAGGTCCCAGGGGCCTCAGGGATGCTCGCTGGCCCTGGGATGCAGCAGGAGGCAGGTGATGCTTCATTTTATTTGGAATTCACTTCAATAGCTGCAAAGCTTAGGGCAATTTTTGAAGCCACAAGGTCATATGCATTCTAGTGTCTCTGGAACAGACCTAGAGGAAGAGAGGGGAGCACCCACTGATCCCAGGAGACCACAGGCAGCCTCACCTGAAAGATGGGGTGACATGGAGTGAGGAGGGCAGAGGGACATAACAGGATGTGGCCGGGAACTGGCCATCACCTGCCCTATGGGCTCCAAAGGATCTGCCCAGTGTCCCCTTTCTCCGGGGGGGTGGGGGTCTGGGCTGGTTCTGGGCACAGCTGAGGGCCGCGCCTGCGGGAGCAAGCACTGTGGCTGGCCCCACACCCACCCGGCAGCAGCTCCACCCCAGGACCAAGAGCGTACCAAGCCTTCAGGTACGCTCCTTGCTCCTCTCCCCTGGAACCTTTCAGAGCTCCCCTGCCTGCACACCTCCCGCTTCCCTCTTTTCTGAGCATGCACCTGTGTGGACAGGTGGCCCCAGAACAGCCTCTGCTTCACAGACAGGTAGGTCCTGCACCTCCAGAGCCCTCGGCGCACACCCAGCTCCCCATCCTCTGATCTCTGAGGCTAAACCCCTCACCCACACGGCTGACGTCACAGCTCTCCTGGCTCCCTGCAGGGACAGCTCTGTCTCCCTTGGGGAGTCCCACTGCATGTCTGACATCTTCTGACTCCACCCATTGTCTGACCTCCTGGCAGCTGTAGACACCGCCTCTGTTTTGGTTGCAAAAAGGACAGCCATGGAGTATTATTGAACACATGTTTTGGGAAGGGTTCTCCTGACACCCCTAAGCATGGGGCCATGGCTCACTCCAGCCCCAAGTTAAATGTAAAGCTACATAATGACACCCTGAGGAAGCAGCCACGTCTGATCTCTCTCTTTAAAATCCCACCATAAATGGAATTTGTACCTGCCCAGAGGTAGAAATCAGGTACCTCCCTCCCTTGTCAGGAGCCCCAGGCAGGGGCAGTGAGAAAGCCTGGCTGGATGTCATGCAATCCACCTTCTCCATAGCATAGCTCTAGTCATCCACTGAATAGCAGTGTTTCATTCTTCAAGGTCGAGAAGAGGTATAAGGACCTACAATCAGTGCCTGCTCCTTTTCTCCTGAGGTTTAAACACACACACAGCTCTAGCTGGTTTGGCTCAGTGGATAGAGAAGGTCAGCCTGTGGACTGAAGGGCCCCGGGTTCAATTCCAGTCAAGGACACATGCCTGGGTTGTGGGCAAAATCCCCAGTAGGGGGCATTACAGGAAGCAGCTGATCAATGATTCTCATTGTTGATGTTTCTATCTCTCTCGCCATTCCTCTCTGAAATCAATAAAAATATTTTTTAAATAACAATAAATAAAATAAAATAGCGCGCGCGCACACACACACACACACACACACACACACACACACACACACCAGCCAGCACTTCCCCTAAACTCACACCACCTAATCTTTTCTAAGGGCCCCTTCCCAGCCCACCTGGGAGCTGTCCGCATGCCTGGTGCTGAATCCAGGGTCAGAAGGTGAACACCTCCCACAGAAGAACCAGGTCCTCTGCTCCACTGCCCCCTAGGCACTGAGCTGTTCCTCACCTCACCCACCTCCTGACTGAGGCCAGTCCTGCTTTGCCACGTGGTTCTCTGCTGTCCCAAGGCCAGCACGTCTGTGCTGCGGCCTCCTCAGCCCACAGTGTTCGGATCAGAACAGCAGTTCAGGCCCTACCTGCTGAGGTAGAGGGACAAGTCTCTTGTAACAGCCAATGCTGCCAGAGAACCAAGCGTGACCCACAGACTAGTGCATGGCAGGTCCCACACCCTGAGCTCCTCAGGCCAGAGCCACAGTGCAGCACTTCCCTGCCATCCTCACAGGCGTCCCCAGGCCCTGGCCTCAGATCAAGTCCAGGCGGCCTCCTTCTATGCTGCTTCACATGCCCTGTGTTCCTGCACGTGGAGGCCTGTGGCGATCCTGCAGGGAAAGTCTTTCGGTGCCGTTTTCCCTGCAGTGATTGCTCACTGCATGTCTCTGTGTCACATTTTGGCAGGTCTCAGGATGTTTCAAACTTTTTCACTATTGATATATCTGTTATGGTGTTCTGTGATGAATGATCTTTGATGTTATTATTGTAATGTCTTATATGGGCCATGAGCCATGCCCGTATAAGACAGCGAAGTTAATAAATAAATATTGTGTGCATTCTGACCCCCCCCCCCAAAAAAAGTGAATGACTCACTGTCTTTTGATACTTGTTTATTGTGGACGCCTGGACCCGCAATAGCTCTGAGGCTGCCTGTCACTTTCTGGTCATGTGATCTCTGTTTAGCTGCTCAAGACTGGGATGGGGTGATGCAAGTAAGGCCATCACCCGGTGTAAATTTAAGGGGGAAACAAAAACTCAGTGATCAAGATAAAACAATAGATTAATGCAGTATTTTAACACATTGAAATTAATGCAGGAAATCCATGATTTTAAAAAAATGCCAGAAATTTAATCAAGGCAGGGTTGGTGTCACTGCCTTTTCTTTTGGCCTCAGGCTCCAAACGGCACCAGTCACCACACAGGAAGGAAAGTGTGAATGGAGGTGCTAGGACAGACCCTGAAAGTGCCCAGTCCAGTCGCCAGATTGGAAAGAAAGATGTTGGGCTTTGAGAGTGAACTACCAGCACCCTCAGAGGAGGTTGTCACCCAAAACTTCGTAGCCCTGGCTGCCTACACTCTGGGCGGTCACACCTTGGTGGCCAAACCTTGGGTCATGGTTTGGAGTCTTGTCAGAGAGTGTCTTCGTGTCAAGAAAATGAGATCAGAATCTGAGATCTGGGAAGGGAGGCCCACCAAGCCTGCTGTTGCCTGCACTTTCATCTCTGAGGGTCACCTGACCCTGGGGACCCCGCCTTACCCAGAGAACATCATGGGAAGTTCTAGAATTAGAGGCATGGCGTGGCTGCCAGCACACAGGATGTTCAGGGTTAGGGAGCAGTCCGACAGAGGGCACCTCAGCCACCGCCTCCAGTGAGTCTTAGGCCAGCACGACCCATCTGCCTCCACCTGGGGAGATCGACATGAACGAGAAAGCACACCTCACACGTCCCGAGGGACTCTCAGCTGCCCCGGCGCAGAGAGGACAGTGCAGCAGGGGCTGAGGACATCAGGGAGCCGATGCAATGGCCTCAGAACAGGGGCCTGGCCCAAGTGAAGCTGCTGTCACCTGTGGATTTGCTCTACTCAGCCATTGTCTCCCTTTGTTTAAAGTGCCCCTGGCCCCACCCAGCTTTGCCTAATCTAGACTGATGACCAGACAAAGGGCACCTGTGCTGCTCCAGGCCAGGGGTGGGCCTGCCTGGGGCAGGGCAGGTGGCCCTCTGAGTGCCTCACCTTGCTGTGTCCGTCCAGAAGCCTTGAGGTCCTGCAGTTGCTGGCCTTGTCTCCGTGTGTCCACCTCTGGCTCAGCAGCTCACCCCGGAACTCATTTTCTGAGGCAGAAAAAGGAAACAATGAATGTGGCTGTGCATCCCGAGGACAGAAGCCGAGAAATGTGGGTCACGTCTGCACAGCCATCTACAGCCCCTTCCTGGGATCCACTGCGAGACACGCAAGACTCGTGGAGGAACATCACTTCTGACTGGAACACTTGCACTGCATTGGGGTTACAGGACACACTGGGGGCTTCCAGCCGGGGCCGCGAGTCACTGAGGGGACCCTGCTCCCCTCGGCCTGACTCCCAGCACTCTCCTCTGAGACGACCCCCAGTTAATGTTTAATTCCTCACAGAAACTCCGGCCTCTGAGGCTGCGGCATCAGCTGGACGTGACAAAGAAAGGCCTGTGTGCCTATTCCCTGTGGCACTCTGTTTCCATGACAACTAGCTTTCCACCACGGGCAGCAGCAGCGTTTCAAAGAAAGGACATCGGTAACCAACAATAAAAACAGGAAATGAAGGTTCCTGGTTCTGCTCTCTGCTGCTCCCTGAAGGGGGCTTGGGTTCTGCTGGAGGCGGTCGGGCCCACAGCTCTGACACCCATCAGCCCTGCACGCTTGGCAAGCATCCCCCACGTGGTCCATCTAGAATTTCACCTCTCCTGCCCCGGCACCCTTGTGTCTCCTGCCACAGCGTCCACATGTCTGGAAACGCCTCCACACCCTCAAAGGCCTCTTGTGACCTCCAGGAGCACGACACTGAGAAAAGCAGACTTGTTGTCAAGGAGACGCCTAATGCAAGGTCTTCAAAGGACTGGTTTGGTACCTACCGTGTACCTGCCTCCCTGAGCCATGAGTCACCTGCAGGGGACCCCTGTGAGGACTGGCCTTGACCAGAGAGGTGTGCGCTGTGACTCCTGGCTCCCAGGTCCTCGCCAGTCACCAGCACACCCAAAATGAGGACAGGCCCAGCCGCCGGCATTCAGATTTCCAAGCCCACGGCAGGTGTGTGGGAGACGCACGCGGGAGCCACACAGGCCCTGAATGAACAGGCGGAGGCTGCAAAGTGGGAGCAGACAGACTCACACCTGGAAGGGATGACGGACACGTGGGTGAATCAGCCCTGAGGGCAGAGGTGAGCGTGCACAGGGTTCGTTCTCCACACACATTTCCTGGTCAGGAGACGCCACAGCCACCTGGGCACTGGCTGATGTGCCAGGCTCCAGCGGGATTTCTTGTCTCCATGACACGTGTGAATGTGTGAGGTGACTGCGGCATGTGTCATGGCAGCTGGAGGGGAGAGCATATGAGCCTGAGTAAGGTCTGTGGTGCGGGCAGGACTGTTTCCCCTCTTGGCACCCCAAAAGGGCCCTAGACATGCCCCCACCCCTGTGTGACCCCTCGAGGTCCCTCCTGCTTCCCAGAGCAGCCCAGCCAGTGAGCAGAGCAAGTCTCTCGAGGGAACTCTGGTTTTCTGTCTGATGGGAGACAACCAGCTCACAGGGGCTTCCCACGCCACCCGGCCTCACTCCCTGTGCTCCCCACTCCTGCGCAGGGAAAGCATGGGGTAGGAGCATCTGGGCACAGGAGCAGGATGCACCTCCGCGACCGGGAGCTCACACCCCCGGGACTCGGCGTCAAACAGGGCGCACCCCCAGGACCAGACCCTCGTCATGAACCAGTTCTCCCCGATGTGAGTCCTTCCTCCGCACCCCCAGGACCAGACCCTCGTCATGAACCAGTTCTCCCCGATGTGAGTCCTTCCTCTTCCTGGGAGGCTTTTGGCAGAAAACTACCATCACTGCTGGGAGACAACACTCCTCCTGGCCGGGTCCCCCAGGACCTGCCCATGGCCCGGCCACGTCACAGCAGGGACACTTCCTGTCTGACACACGGAGGCAGCACACAAAGGCCCCGCCACCCAACTCAGCGTCCTCGGGCTGGAGGGCGGCCCTGCTGGGGCCCAGCAGGAGGTGCCTTGCAGGGGCCACCTGCTCTGGACACGTGGGGCGGAGGGGCAGAGCTGCTCCCACACCTGACCTGCATGCCCCCTTTCCCATCCACCAAGTGAGGGGAGGGAGGCCTGGGGATTGAGAGCTTGTGTGCAACGTGGCCTCCCGGGGTCTGGCGCACAGTAGACACGTGAGGATGTCGCAGCCTTATTATGGGGATCTGAAGGGAAGAGCAGGTTGTCCTCAGGACCAACCCTGCCTGTGAGCTCTTAGGTGTCTAATCAGCTCATCGGAATCCCTGTGCTTGGACTCAAACAGCCATCAGGCCACTTGGGGGCAGGTGGTGCAGAGGAGGCCTGGCCATGACCCCTCTAGGGCCGGGCATCACCTGCCCTGTCTGTCCACGCTGCCCAGTGTCTGTCCCCACAGAGGCCCCAGACTCACTTCTATCACGAGACTGGCTGGCAGACAAACTCAGAGCGGCAACCAGGGCCTGCCAACAGGGTGGTGGGTCTGTGAGCAGAGCGCCTCCTGCCCACGCCCAGCCAGCCCTCTGCTGCCGGCAGCCACTGCCCCGGCTCAGCAGCTCCAGGGCCAGCCCGCCAGGCCCAGGGCAGTTCCTGACAAACAGCAGCACAAGCCCTGGGCCCTGAGCATGAGAGACTGTCTCGGGAGGCCCCAGCCCAGCCCTCCTTGGTCCCCCTTTGTTCCCGACATCCTGGCTGAGCCAACCTCTCCATGCGGGCTTGATGCCCCCTCCTTCCCAATATTGAATAAAGGGTCCCAGGGGCACCTCGCAGTCTTCTCAACTGGACCCTTCCTGGGGCTTTTCAACTCTTCAACAAACTTGAGGTTAAAATGACCATCCCTGTGGGCTCCACAGCCCGCAGCCTCCCTCTCACCCCATCACAACCACATTTCTTAAGGGACCCTGGCTAACTCTGCTCCTCACTCCCCACCACAGTGGCCTCCACCCACAGCCTTCCACCAGAGCACGATCCCTGCGGGGTCACCAGTCACAGCCAACCCCGAGCCTCTCCCCCACTGCCTGCAGGTCCTTCTCTTCCATCTCTGGTCCCTGCTCTTAACATCTGCTCCTCGTAGGACTGAGCTTCCCCTCCCCGCTCCTCAAGCAGGGCACCAGCATTGTCTGGGGCCCAAATCCTGCCACAGTGCGTCCTGAGTCTCACCACAATCCAGCAACTTCTGTCTCTCAAGCTGTTTTGTTCGCGAAAATTGACTGATTCTAAAATTTACATAGCAATTCGAGGAGCACAGGATTATCAAACAATGAAGCTGGACACTCTCACACCATACGCAAAGATTAACTCACAGTGGATCACAGATCTCAAGGCAAGAGCTAAAGTCTCAGAAAGCATAGGGGCACATCTTCCTGACTCTGTCTTAGACAATGGTTTCTTAGATATGACACCAATAGATCAAGTAATAAAAGAAAAAAGTGGGGAAATTGGACAGCATCAAAGTTTAAAGCTTTTGTACATCAAACACCATCAATAAGAGGAAAATACAACCCATAAACTGGGGGAAAATGTTTGCAAATCATATATCTGATAAGGGACTGGTATTCGGAACACACAAAGAATCCTTACAGCACCATAATTACTAGACCACCCAGTATGAATAGACACTTGTCCAAAGACAACATATGAATGCCAATATACACATGAAAAGAAGCTCAACTCTAGTCTTTAGGGAAATGCCAATTAAAGCCACAAACTCACTAAAGTGGCTATAATTCTTTTAAAACTCACACAATAACAAGCGTTGGAGAGAATACGGAGAAGCTGGAACACAGACACGGTGTTGGCGGGAATGAAAAGGTCACAGCCTGGCCAGCGGGGCTCAGGGTTGAGCAAAGTCTTGGGCACCAAGAGGTCACGGTTGGATTCCTGGAGAGCACACGCTCAGGGGGTGGCTCAGTCCCCGCGAAGGGGCGTGCAGGAGGCAGCTGATGGATGGCTTTCTCTTATCGATGTTTCTCTCCATCCCTCTCCCTTCCTCTCTCTCTAAAAAAAATCAATAAAAACATATTTTTTAAAATAAATTTTAAAAATTAGGGTGTATCATTAAAAAAAAATGTTTCTTTAGACAACTTTAAAAATATATATCAAGCATAGAGTCACTATATGACCCAACAATTCCATCCCTAGGTAAAGACCCAAGAGAAATGAAAACATGTCCACACAAAACCTTGGACACAATGATTCTTTACATCTTTGTTCAGACCAACCGAAAGGTGGTCCATCAATCGGGTTTTTTTTTTAAGATACCACTGAGTATCTTAAATAAGGTATCACTTGGCGGTGAAAAGGAGTGCAGTGCTGCTAGTGGTGGGGGGTGTGAGTCTCAGACACAGAGACAGCAGGAGCACGGGCTGGGCTCCGTGGGGTTGTGCTTTGTTGGGTTGTGCTGAGGATAGCGATGCCTGTTGGTGCAATGACTCCTAGGGCACAATTGCTCCGTGTTGGGAGTGAGCTGTAGCCTCAAGGAGTCCTGAATGGAGAGTTAAGAAGTTCTTGGGAGTCCTAGGGGTGCTGGTATAAGAGAAGAGTTAGAGGAATTATACTTGTTGAGAAGATGGTAGTTCGGTAGAGAAAGACAATTGCGGATGGACCGCGCTTGGAGGTATTGTGTGGTTTCCACGTCGGCGCTTTGAAAATGGGGGCGATGTGGTTTGTAGCTTTCCTAGCCGCCAGCTGCTGCGCTGAGCAGGGTTTGTGTCAGCTGTTCCTGAAGTAATGGCAGCAGTGGCTTGTGTTTGGAGTGCAATTGTCGTCCTAGTTTGGCTGGCTTCCAGACAGGCTCAGAGGGTGAGCCAGGACGAGCTGCCTGCCGCTGCCCACTGCTCCCCTGGTTGCAAGTCTCATGGGTCCCTTAGAGGTTAGGGGATTCATGCCTGTGGGGGAAGGGGAGGGGAGGGAAATGGCCTGGGAGTGCTCCTTGAAGGGAGAGGGCACACTGAGTCCTTTGTCCTGAATGTATTTCTCTCTCTTGCAGGTGGGAACCTTATGGGAGGTCTCAGGGGAGAGTCTTAATAGAATATTCATCAGCTTTACAGGTGTGCTCTCTCAGGGTCGTGGTCT